TTGCACTTAGAAAAACCCCTTTTCAAGACACCACAAGTACAATATTCAAGAATGCGTTGAATAGAAATATATTCAATACTTGAATCACTCTTCGTTTTTTAAAGGAATAAAGTGGTACTTTCCGATGTATGATTTGTTACTTTGCCTTGATGAAGTTTCACTCTTTGAAAGTGATTAGAATAAAGAATTTCTTCTGCAAACACAGGACATACACCTTTCTCTTGGTAGTACGTTCAGTTGATTTTAACATAATTCATGCTCTTCTTATTTTTAAATTATCATTGCAAAAGAATCCTGCGATACTCGTAAACCCTTACTGGAACTTCCTTTGCCTTGACGGAATCAGCTTAGTACACTTTTTTTTCTTCGTTTTCGATAATAAGTAGACTTTTTTTATTTAGGTAAACCCATGGTCACAATGTATTTCCATTATGTCCTGCTAAATAGTTTTCATGCAGCAAGCCACATGCCTCGACAAAAGTTGAAGAACTGCATGTTTATTACCTTTTTCAAGTCGTAAATCTCGATTTATTATTATTTTATTTATTGCTGCTACAGAAGTATTTAAAACTTTTGCAACTGATTCCTGCATCGGCGGATTTTCTCTTGTTGCCAACGATTTAACTTGAAAAACTCTAGAAACGGTACGTACCTTTTTCGGGTATTATCTTAGGGTACTTACGTATTAACGCAACCAGGCCAAAATTCGCATAAATCGCCAAATTTGGCGACCCTACTTACGGCAACCCTACGTGTTTTTTACCTTTTTCAAGTCGTAAATCTCGATTTATTATTATTTTATTTATTGCTGCTACAGAAGTATTTAAAACCTTTGCAACTGATTCCTGCATCGGCGGATTTTCTCTTGTTGCCAACGATTTAACTTGAAAAACTCTAGAAACGGTACGTACCTTTTTCGGGTATTATCTTAGGGTACTTACGTATTAACGCAACCAAGCCAAAATTCGCATAAATCGCCAAATTTGGTGACCCTACTTACGGCAACCCTACGTGTTATACGTAGTTTTTCGTAAAGAAATTATTTTTCTTACTGGTTAGATTGAATGCCCTGAAATACTTTAAGTATGGGTATTTGGGATCTGCCTGCGAGTGAAAAAGATGCTGTTGAATTGTTGCAGGGATATGGAATTATACCGCGAACGAACGTACTTGTAAAAATTCTCATACAATGAAACTGTATTTTGGAAAGCAAATCTTCTGGAAATGTAACGTCGAAGAGTGCAATCAACAGTTTGGGTGTGAGAACCGGAAATTGGTTTGAAGGTAGCCGAATTTCATTTGTGACAGCGGTGCGCTTCATTTATTGTTGGTGTAAAGAGTTAACGTCAATTAAATTTTGTGCAGAAGAGATGGGAATTGCTGACAAAACTGTTATAGATTGGAATAATTACATGCGGGAGATATGTGCCCTTGAAATGGATGAAAAAGAAAGAAAGCAAATAGGCGGCGAAGGACTTATTGTGCAAATAGACGAAAGTTTATTTGTAAAAAGAAAAAACTACCACAGCAATGGGTTTTCGGCGGAATTTGCCGAGAAAAGAAAGAGACATTTTTGGTTACTGTACCTAACAGAAGCGCCGTTACCCTCATGGAAAAAATTTGCGAAAATATCAAGGAAGGAAGCATCATTTATTCGGATTGCTGGAAAGGATACAATACAAATGGCGCAACAAATGACGCAGCCAAATGGCGCAGCAAAAAACAGAGAGGAACAGCCCGTCATCATCTTGACTCATACCTTATCGAATTTATATGGCGCCAAGCTCAAGTTGTTAATGGGCGAAGACGGTTTTTAATCAGTGCTAAAAGCAATAGCCAAAAGATTTCCGCCGAAAAAATAATTCTGCAACTTATTCAAATTCGAAACCGGAAGGGTTTAATTGCTATTTTATATTTTAAAACAAAATAATATAAAAAACTGTAGTAAAAATTATCTGTAATTAATAAATGTACATTTTCTTTCTATTCATACTTTTTTACTCAAACTTACAAATCGCGCCAACCTGGTTGCGATAATACGTAAGTACCTACCTATCTTAGAAACTTCTTTTCATGCAGAAGCAACGATAGACGACTTTTCCCTTTCCGATTAACAATACTGCTTATTTTTCACTTAGAAATTTCAATCATGCCTCTCTCAAAGTTTTTGAATCATGGAGTAGGAACATTTCGCTTCGGAAGGCGCAAAAACATATCCTTCAATCAGCATCTTGTTTACATGCGATATTTTAAAAGAAGAATATATTTAAAAGTAGCAGACCATATTGTTTATTTCAAATAGTAAACTGTTGCCAAAAAATCTTCATTTTTAAACATTCGCTTTTTTTTTTTTTTTTTTTTTTTTTTTTTGATTCTTAACAGAATTCGTTCTAAAATATATCTAAATATTCTTTGCAGTAATCATAAAGAAATCGCAATAAATATCTAAAATAGGTAGGCATTACGAGAAAGACTTTAATGTGATTCTAAATTTTAAACTATTAATTATTTGAAATATTTACAATAAGGTAATTGCATTAATATTATTAAAATAAACAGATATGTGGGAAAAGATCTGTAGTGTTATCTCGAGTTTCAATATTCATCGTTCTCAAATCTATCGCAGTTCTTATTCAGTTTGAACTGAAAACAAGTTCTTATTCAGTTTGAACTGAAAACAAGTTCTTATTCAGTTTGAGAACTGAGGTTTTGCGTGGATTGCAAAGTATGCAGTGAAATAAAACGACAAATTTCTAATACTGGCAACAGTGATAAACAAAACAGATTTTGTACGTCATCTTGTTGTAGCGATCGCTTTCCTAGGTATGTGCGGACAAGAGCGAAATACACCAGAATTCAAGATAACCGAACTGAGATATCTTTGATCGAAGAAGTTGTAGAAGTATTTACACCTATCGCAACATTTATGACATATTTAAAATAATCTTTTGAAAGAAAGAATGTTATTTACTTTCCCAGAGATAATTTTATGGATCACAGTCTCCAGAAATTCTGGGAAATTAAATGCTGGGAGGTAAGGTGTTCGAAATGAAGAGAGCTATAATACAGAATATTCTGAATAAAATACGATGTTTCACATACCGCTAAGATGTAGAGTAATGCTTTAACTTTCAAACTGTGAATTTATAATTAAAAATTATAATTTTCAAGCAAGAAAATGCTCTTTTCTTCCTACTACGTTATACAATAGAATCCTGAATTATGACAACTTGCTGTTTTTCGGGAGGAATGCGCATCTGTCACTGCAAGCCATATCGCTCTTCGCCAGACACATGTTGATACTGCTATACTTGTTCTTGCTATTTTGCGTAATGTTCCAACATCAGTGTTCCTGATTCAAATTTTCTAATGATTGTTTTTTTTTTTTTTTTTTTTTGTTTTTGTTTTTTTTCCTAAAATCACTTTTCTTAACCAAAAAACCAAAAAACTAAATCCAAATTAATCTTTGTGAGATGATTTCAATCGCCAAGGAATCATCTCTTTTGATGTGAATATAAAATGTTAATTCTACATCGTTCAATGCTTCAACAATCTCATTGAAAATCACTATGCGGAGTCAGCTTATATAGCGCACGTCCAACATATAATATAATATTACTTTACGCATAGGATGAAGAGTATGTGCATTCGGCATAACACAGGTTCTAGAATTTCTATGATAGAGATAATTCCAGAATTTCGTGCCAGTCTTCGCCCAATCATTTCAGATCTACATCGAAAACTCATCCAGCAATGGAAGATTGGATAAGACGGCTGAATACTGGCAGTTGGTTCCGGGTTTGATTCCACATGACAGGCTATGCAGTAGCCTGTCTGTCTTATATTTTCGTGGTTTCCCCGGCGTATCACGTAGGAACATGCCTCCCACACGAATGAAAGGCATTTTCCCTTGCAAAGACATTAACCAATCAACGAAGCAATCAATCATTAACCATATTCAATTAACCAATCACCGAAGCAAGAACTTTGTTTTCGGTTTTATGTAAAATACCACCAGTAAATTTCTTGATAAATACACACAAAATTTCTCACATAGTTTTCGCTGTTTTGAGACGATTTTTTGATTGATTTTTTGCATGAGACTATGGTAAGTACTATATATGTGATATTTACAACAATGGATAAAACATTGAAGATATTTCAATTAAATTAATTAGCTAAATCAAGTCCATTAAATAAAAAATCCAAATCTTTGTAATAAGATATGCTATCCACAATGTTATTGTTATGTTACCAACAATACTTTTTCATTAGAATCATATTTTCGGGCTCGTTATTTAAATAATATTTTAATTACAAGAATGAGAACAAAATTTTGTGTCCCTTTATTCATTTAGAAATGGTACAAATACCAAATTAATATACATTACGTTAACAGAAATACTTAAAAATCCACCAATTATGTTATTATGAAGTTGAGTTTATAAATGATAACAGAACAAAATACTACTTAAAAAACATATCACCGAAAAATGTACCGACTTTTCTGATTCTTAAACTGAAAAGGAAAACTATTTTTTTTAATTTTTTTTTTTTTTTTTTTTTTTTTTTTTTTTTTTTTTGCAATATCAAAGTTAAATCGAAATTGAAAAAAAATATATCGGCAACTGTCATCTTCTGCCATTCACAATAATTGGGATAAAAGTAAATTTAAATAGTGAATAATGAAGGCAAAGCATGTAACTTTAAGTTCTCCAAATGAAAATTCTTTTCACTACCACTATTTACACAGTAATGTTTTCCTTCTTTTGATGATAAAGTATACCCTAGACGTTCATGTTCATTTTGGTCTTTGATCACGTTGCAGGAGAAGAGAAAATAATGATCATTCCAATAGCCGGCAGCTATGGTAACATCCAGCCAACACTGCCCATTGTCTGTAAGCCTGATTTCTTCTATTCTGGGTCCAAAACTTTGCAGTAATTCAGCGCAATCCCCTGCTAAAGACAAAAAGACTAGAAGAAAGAAAGTAAACTCACCGAGTATCCCCCGGCGCTGTGTCCGTCCGAATAGTTATCACTTTTTTCCGAATTACAGCTAAGGCTCTCCCCGTTTAGACCTTCGTTATAACTACTTGGAGCGTACATCTCTATGGTTGCGGCCTTGCTGCTGGAATGATCACTTTCTGAAAGAAGAAATGCGTGATTGGTATTTTAAGAAGTAAGAGACGAGCTTGTACTAATTAGTAAAAAAAAATATATATATATATATATGTTGGTAATAGAAATGTTTCAACGTTGGGACACGGTTTTGAAAAATAAAACAAATCATTCATCTTTACAAAAAAAACTGTTTATCATAGATAACAAGTCCAGTATCATTCATAATTTTTTTAATTTTCCCCAAAATCTATAAATATATAATAATATGGCGTGTTAATCATGACTGCATCTTACTTATAACTCATTTCGCTATTATCATCATTTATGCTAGATAAAAATTTGAACACATACCGATGTATGTGTATACGTGTGTGTGCCCATTCTACTATAATTACATTTGTAGTTTTCACATACTTACAACAGTATATGGGCGCTGACCAACCAAATAGGCGGATTATATATTAGTAGGCTATAGAAACTAAGGGCACTGCATAGATTGCAATAAGGATGTTAGTTATAGTTCCACTTTATTTATATTGGTAAAAATTTATGTTATAGTTCCACTTTATTTATATTGGTAAACTAATGTTTTAGTCTGCAGACACTACTATTGGATAAATGAATGTTTGACGTTATGTAAGTAAATGCATTACGAATGTTATACAATAATAATACTCTATCCCAGCCTCAGCGATAGATTGGTATTACATGCAAGATGTCTCCAAAGGTCTTTGCCAAACTTAACATGCTGGTAAGTCATACCGTGACAAAGAAGATTTGCATAGGAACTTGTGTCCTAAAATGCGAACGGTGATTGCTAAAGGGCAGTGTTCGCAAGCGTAGAGGGGAAGAAAAAATGATGCCAAAAGAAGTGTTAATATGACTTTTATTAAAGAACATATTTATATCGTAGATGATATTCAAAATTCCTTCCATTCATCACAATGCATGCTTCACAACCTCGACACATGTATTCACGGACTCGCTCAAAATGGACAAGCCTGTCACAAACACGTTCCGCCGCTTCCAAGATCCTGGTGACGAGATCCATGTTCGATGGTCTCGTACACCATGGACTTCATGTATCCTGACAGGCAGAAATCCAGGGAAGATCGCGATGGCCATGCGACTGGTTCGCCTCTGCCAATCCAGTGATCAGTATATGTTCTATCAAGGTATTCCTGCACAGTGCTGCTAAAATGTACAGACGCTGCGTCAGGCTGAAATCAGATGTTTCGGCATGTAGCTGCTGGAACGTCAACCACGAGATCCAGAAACATTCTTTCAACAAAATGTCACACAAAATATCCATAAAGAACTGAGTTAGTAAACCGATTCACCCTTCTCATGGAACGTCCTCGCCTGAAATGATCACACTTCCCTCTCTCCCATAAGCTTCTAGCAGTCGGCGTTCACATTTTCGGACACAAGTTCCTACGTAAATCATGTTTGTCATGGTATGGCAGAACACCATGTTAAGTTTGGCAACGACCTTTTGAGACACCCTTTATATATAACAGAGCACTCTCTCTTTCGTTTTCTTTTTATATAAATATACATAATAACTCTATTTCTCTCTCTCTCTCTCTCTCTGTATATATAATGACGATCGATCGCGGAACTGAGAGAAGAGGAAGAAGAAGAAAGTTGTCCGGAAACAATGTTCCATTTTTAAATACTAATATTTAATACATTCTGCTTATGTGAATTCTTATATGATATCCGTATTAAAAAAAAACTAGGAATTTGAGCATTTATTTAAATCACGTGACAGATCAAGTCAAGACGTTTTGAATATATGACTGTCCCTTACATCTTCAGAAACATCAATTAACGATGTTCATGTACAATATTCTCCACTGCATCAGCAATAACTGTCATTTAATGAAAATAAAATTTTCTTATTTTTGAAAATTATTAGATTTATCATACCACTTCGATCTTTATTATTTATATGCATATAATTCTTACATGAAATCGGTTTTAAATTGCAGCTGCAATGAAAACTTTTACGCTACGAAATCAAAGATAATTATATATCTTCCTACATTTCATATCAAAATAATGCTTTGAAATTGACAAGCAAATAAAATGTTTACCGTATAGTTAATATCAAATAATTCTTTAAAATCGACAACCTAATGAAAAGTTTCAGCAGGAAACACAATTTAAGGCTTTACAACGAAAACAAATCGAAGACCAATTTTCAGGAAAAGTTTTGTTCCAAGCAAGTCTAAGAAGTTGCTAGCCTCACGCCTTGTTGGAGGACATCCATCAAAAACGATTTTTTTAGTGCACCAAATACTTTTTCAACTTTTTTTCTTCTTTGAGTACCTTTTTCTGATCGCGAATAAGTCACTTTAACCTTTGATAAATTAGGTATCGTAAACCGATACGAAACCGATAGGACTACCATTGAAATAGTCCAATAAGAGGAGCATAAAAAATATAATTGATAAGTGAAGAACATTAGGGTTAAGGAATTCCGGATCGACAGCTTTGTTTGAGAGAATAACAAGGTCAGCCATTAATTAATCTCTTCCTCTTGATAATCAGGCTTCCCGTTTCGCGTCACACTTCGTATAGACAAATTACAACGCATTTTTCATCTTTTTGGGGAATAATCTTTCTTTTTGACCCTTCCCGGCATTGTGCGTGGAATAGTTCGGTGAAACTAAAGCGGTTCGTTGAAAAGTTTGTCATATTCACGGTGGCATCCCTCGTGAGACCAAACGAGAAAGAATAAATGCTTTCGAAGTCATTTATTAGGTTCCTTAAAGAACTGAATGGATTTAGTAAAATATTAACGTCTTCGCAACGATGGCCATATCTTCCAGCAGCAATTAATTTCAAAGACTTTGATAACTTTATAATGGGGGCTCTAATCCTTAAATGAAGAACAAGTTGTTAATGACTTTTAAATCTTTATCATACATGCATTTTTAACAAAGAAGAATTAACAGCTTATTCTTTTTATTTCATAAATCTTTTCAGAATTTCCTCTAAGGTAATAAAAAAAGTCTTTTTATCTCAGAGTAGGATAACTTATTTTTATGACGAAAATAATTACCGTTAGTTAGGTAAAGGTAAAGGTAAATGTGATACACAGTTTAATCCATCTGAAGGCAATTTTTTTATTAAAACGCATCGATTACTCCATCTAAATATAGAAAATTTTCCCAGTAATTTTATTAATAAGGCTTACTAAAATTACAAACAATACCAGTTGAAAGCAAAACGCTTTCATAAAAGGAACACATATAGCGTACACCTGAAAATATCGCTCGTTATATCGCGTTTTACTCTTGTTTATAAATTGCCCAGCTGCGGTAAGATAACTTCCCCGCAAGGCGGGTTTAGGGTTGCCAGAAAATGGAAAGAGAAGGCAGGGGTGCCATATTTGGCGAGAAATTAGCCCATTTGGCAACATTTGGGGACAAGATTGGTGATATGTCATAGACGGATGGAGAACCATCTAGGACGAATTCCTACCGGCTTGGCTCAGAATATTCTCGAAGGCACGCCGAAAACTATATAAAGCCTGCTGGTACGCCGTGTAGAAAGTGTCTAGCAGTCTATCGTGTGTCTCGTAGTCTATCGAGTTAATCGTCAGTCTAGTGTCGAGTTGGTCGTTGAGTGCATCGAGAGAGACTCTTAAAGTATCGCGAGTTAGAGCATCGTCGAATCTATCGTGTGTCGAATCTATCGTGAATATTTAATAAATAGATGTAACAGACAAAATGTTAAAAAAAACGCCTCTTTGGACGTAATTTAAAATCAGAAACCTTTCAGATTTTTATTATTATTTTTTTATTTTATTTTATTTTTATTTTTATTTATTTATTTTTTTGATAAAGTTGTTCTGCAGAGTAAAATTCTGTGCAGTTTTTAAATTTAATGTTTGATGTTTATTTTCTTTAGGCACTTTTTCGAAACTTTTCATTTAAAAGTACATTGACTTTTTCATTTAAAAGCAGACGAAGGCTGGCCGCATAGCAACTAGTTAAATGGCCGCATAGCAGCTAGTTAGGTAAAGGTAAAGGTAAAAGTATGGGGGACACCAGCGATGTACCATAGGTCACCTGGTAATGCCTTCCCATACTAACACTTTAAGAGAAAAAAAAAAAAAAAAAAGGAAAAAAGGGGGGTTATTGCAAGTTTTATAAGAATTTGCATAGACTGAAGCTTTTCAAAAGGTCTAAAGTTTGCCTATTATGGTACATTGTGCAATTCCACAGTACGCCCCGCATCCAGTATTTATTAAAAATAATGGTGTAGGCATAAGTAGATTACAAATAGTAGGATACAATTTGAAATTCACAAGATAAATTGAACATCTGATTGGTGCAACAAAAATAGGAGATAACATAATTAATAAACAAATAAACATAATGAGATAATGTAATTAGTACTGGCAACACAATGTTAAATGAATTGTTATAATAATGCTAAAGAGGTAGGTGTCCATGGTTATTTCAGATATATTGGTTTATTGCAGTTTATAAAGTTCAGTTCACGAGCGGATCCATTTTGTCCATAATTAACGCTGTAAAAGTTCACTAAGTTTAAACTGTATGTGGATTTTACACTTGACAGAGTCTAGGCCGTAGGAAAGAGTCCAGTTGCATAATTTTCTGAAACTTGGATATTGATGTTTATCTTTAATTAAAAATCTTTGGAATGCCAGGAGGTCATTCTTGGGAATTTTATGTGAATATCCTCAGTTAAGGGGCATGAGAAAACGTAGTGATCAGGCGTTCCCTGTTCCCCACATATGCAGATGTCAGAATTTGCCAAATTTCTTGCGTAGAAATATGTGGGGAAGGGTCCATGTCCTGTTATAAAGTACTTTAGGGAAGGATTCGAGTTCAGAGATGCTAAGCTTACATTGGGCATCAAGTTATATGTGCGTCTAGCAGCTATAAAGGAATGATTACTTTTTACTGGGGGATTTACTTTGAATGTATCATAGGTTCAATTCGGGTTCTGCCCTCTAGTGGAGTAATAAGGGAAAAGATTTTATAGAATGATACCTGATTCAAATTAATAAAAATGGCGTTTATTAAGAAACAGATTAATATTACGGTTTTGTTAGTAACTTCCCAGGATGGCAACGATAAATTGAGATTTTAAGTTCCCTCTTAAAACTAAACGCTTTTAAGAATCATGACTATTAGTTGATCATAAGCGATTTACTTATAGATGTCACAGAACTGAAAAAGAACCAGACTCGAAAGGTTTGGTTTGGTTTTTTTAATTATGGCAAAGAACAATAGGGCTATCTGCCTTCGTGGAGGGATGCCTTCGTGAAAGACGTTCTAAGGGAAACTGACTCGTATACACGTTACACATGGGGAAAACCACGAAAACGCCCATGCAGCCATCCCCTTAGCGGGATTCGAACCTCGGACCGAACTACCAGTGTTCAGCGACTTTACCGCTCGATCGCTGGTGGGCGCTCAGACTCAAAAGGAAAAGTTATAACTATACGAATGAATAAATGCTTAAGCAAATTAAAACTCTATGCAGCTTAACAATTCGAAGTAACTACGTTACAGGGTTACATAGAGTTAACAATACTTATTACTTCAAAACCGAAAATTTAGTTAAAAAGACTAGGGGCAGAAAAATACTTACTCTGACAAATCTTTGTGAACCTCTGCAGCACTTACCAATGCAGCATACAGAAAGAAAAGATAACAAAGATAATACAGTTCTAGAAATTCCTGTGTAATGTATTATAAACACATGTGTATAACTAATTAATTAAGCTATACAAGAAGGAACATGCGCTTCAGTTTAAAAGGCAAAAAGCGTAAAAATTATCATGCTGCATAATTTTTGTCATTCTAATGTATCAAATATTCCATCCTGAATACAACAACTGCAATCTAAGAATATATCGCGCATGTTTCGATAGGGAAATATTAATCACATTATTGGTTTAATTTATTTCCAACAGGCATATTCCCTATAATGTCTTGATAAATAACTTTTATTTAAATTACGCCATCCTATTTGGAGTTTAGCAAAGATTAATGGCTTAGGACATTCGTTTTTGAAACAGACAAATCTTCATTTTAGCTAGAGCCTTGAAAATTAAAATTAACAGATTTTTTTATAATTTTATTTTATCAGCGGTCTGATTAGTTTTGAATAAAGCATGCATACTTGTTTTACCTATATGATCACTAATATAGTGATAACTGAAACTTAATGAAAAGCGAGAGCACAGCAAACCGTAAACAAATGAAATTGAGAAATTACGGGCAGGTAAGTTACGAAGTTGTACTTATTATATTTACTTGAGTTTGTGAAATTAAATCATAACTACTTTATTTATCTACCAAAGATGAAAATAATTTAGTATCTTTTAATTGCATTTTGCTAATGGCACAGCTATGAAATTATATATTAAAAATTTATAAATTTAAACTAAATTCAGATTTAACTTAGAGAATTAAAAAAATTACGAAAACTATTATCTGTTGTATCCTCAAAGGAACTAATCATCAGGATATTAATAATTTTTTTTATTTTAATAATAATATTAATTATGTTTTCCGTTAAATACACTTTATGTTAAAATTTATTTTACAATACTGATATTCCATCCGAATGTTGAATATATATAACAACAGCTATTGAGTATAGTTGTTCAAAACTGAATATATATAATAACCAATTAGTACAAAAAATAATTATTATTTAAAAAAATAAAAGATTATCCTATCTGAGGAAGGATGTCTATGGCAGTATGTATATATATATATAACATACACGATAACATCTCTGTATAAGTGTATAAAGTTGTATCCTTAAGCTTCATTTATAAATTTTACTTTTACTTATATTTTACTTACTCCAAATTATATTTTGTTTATATATATATATATATATATAAAGAAATATAAATTTGGATAAAGAATGTGTTTCTCTATTTATACATACTTACACTTATGGGGTAAGATAAAACTGCCGAAAAGAGATATTTTTAAAGGAACATTCTTGTTTTAATTTTTCTAGCCTTTGTAGTATATAAACACATTAATATGAAGAGCAATTATACGATAAAAACACGTATTAATATTCTTCAATTTCTAGTTGTTATTGCTTTAATTACTATAATTATGCTAAAAACACGCATTAAGTTCTAGATTTTATGGCTTTAACAATTATAATCTAGCATTAAACAAATGCATTAAATGTAAAAATTATGAATATTTTCTTGCTTTTACTATTTATAACTTTTGCGAAAAAATTGACGTTTTGATTTTATAGATTAATGTTTATATTTCATGCAAAAAGCAGGAGCGAGAGGCTGCAAGCAAACCAATTGCAGTAACGCATTCAAGTTGTTAAAGGTGGGTTAAATAAGCAATTAATGGCGTCTTAGAGGCATTAAATATTCCATTAAACAGTGTTAATATCAAACAGAACAAGTAATTATCTTTTACTACTAAAAGCCAATTTTTCTGCTGAGATAAATTTATTATGATTTTAAGAGTAATAATTTCCAGAAATACAAGCTACATTTCCAAACTGGGTAACTAGATGTAAAAATAAAAAGGTATATCATCTCATGTTAATACTCAGTGAGATAGGAACCTTCAAGAGGATGTTTAACGAAGTTTGTTTTGAAACCAATGATGACAAAATTAATAATCTTAAAGAAGCTACTGCTTGAAAAAAAATTTTTTTTCTTGAAAAAAGGTAAAGTGGAAACACTTTTTTTGAAACAAAGGTATGAGGAAGTAATTTAGAATTTCAAAATTTAAGAAAGTAAAATTTTGTAAAGCATAATATTCAATGACGACACGTATTTTAAAACATAAAATGCAAAAATTTAGTAACGGATGTAATAGTTGTAAAGTCAAAGTGGATGTAATAGTCATCAACGTAAAAAATAAAAACATTCCCATGAATAACAGCAATATGATAAAATAAAAACCTGATTTAAAAACAAATCCAAAACCTTTATTAACCCCCACAAAATTCAAACAAAATAAAAATGTGAAATGTAAAAACATAAAACTCTTATTTTTATGCAGATGTTCAGTAAAAAATTACGATTTCTAAAACAAAGAATAGAAACTTTTTTTATTAACGAATAAAATCAAGAAAAGTATGATTAGTGAAGAAAGTGAAAGAAACTCCCCGTCCGCTGAAACAAAATTTAATAAACCGAAGCTTAGTTCTATAAAAAAGTACATCACATAGCAATATTACATAAGAAGAAAACTAATCTTCTGGAATTTAATAGCATATTTAATTTTAATTTAAACTATTATATACAGTAATAGTTTGAATTTGTTATTGTTTTTTTGCTTATGAAAGTTTTAACTTTTAACAACAATTTAACATACTTACTTAACTTTTTTTAATCCTAAGTGAAATAAAATTATAATCGCCTTTATTTTTTAATATAAAATGCAAGTTTAATATAAAAAATTCCTGCCGCTGGGATAGTGGAATCTTTACGCTTAGTCTTTCTGCATTACTTTGAATTTTACGTTTTACACAATGTACGCAATTTTCACGCACTGTAAAAAATATTTGCTTATGCAACTTTTATCGTAAGACGTTACTGCAAGAGGCGTCAACCTCATTTCCTTTGCAATGCAGCATGCTCATAGCAAACACTGGAACTTAATTTACCCATGGAGAAAAGACACAATTGCTGATCTCCTTCTGCAGATGCCCTACCTTCTTCTAATCTCTTCTTCCTGCGCTTCCTGACGAAGCAGATCACAAGAACGATGTTCAGCACCAGCAAGCAGGAGCCCACGACGGAAACAGTGATGATGATCATACGAGGTATGTCCCCCTTGCCGACCAGAGAGTCGTCTATCACTTTTTCTGTTTCTCCGAGGGGTGCTTCGCCTGGAAAGAAAAAGAAAAGAGAAATGTTGAAAGAAGTAAAATGCCTTATTAGCTTTCTTTCCCAAATCGCTTATCTATCACCAAGACCATGTGCATGTTTGAAAGCTTTGTATTCATTGGACTGCAAATCTTCTCTGCTACGGAGCATTGACTAGTAAATTTTTAGCTTCATTTTAGTTAATCGATTTACAATACCGATCATAGCATGAAGATTACGGTGCTCAAACTTCGAAAACATTCTATTGTTTCCGGTATAGTAAATAATATTTTCATAAAAGGAAATAACACGATCTGTCGGTTAACCGGATATAAAACGATTACATCAGACATAAAAACTTTTATATCCAGCAGACGTAGAAGTAGTATGAAGCCAAACGAATATTGTAAGATTTCAACGAACATTTTCTCCGAATAACAACTCACACACACATTTACACAAAAAGTAAGCCAATGAACTAATTAAGCCAATACAGTATTACCTTCTGAAAGGGACACCTCCGAACAAGGGACACCTCTATTTAAAAGACAATACTCTTGGTCCCTTTGAATTAGGCACGTATTCACGTCACACCTCTATTTAAGGGACAAAATGTCTGCTCCCGTGGGTGTTCTTTATTGGGAGGCATTTCTGTATTCTTATTTACATTTAAATTTACATCAAAATTACATCTTTAGAACACTAACAGAAACTTCAACACATCGCGATACGGCTGATCTCGCAAGCATGAGCAAAACAGATATCATTACGGAGAATGAACGAATACATTGAATTCAGAGAACGATGAGTCCAAACTGCTCAAGGTTCTTTAATACTCGACTGGAACATTCAGCATAGATTCTTTAAAAATAGAACTTATCTTCTAGCAGAAAACTGGAATAGCTGTTTTTCATGACTCTCTAGAACTAGATATCACTAACTAACTATATCAAAACTCATAAATGTCTTGAACGCATTATTTAACAAAAAAGCACAATAATAAACAATATACCATCATACATCGTACGTACTTATTAATTTATCTTTGCTGTACATCCTATAAAACTATTTCCATGGTTTTGATAGAAATCCGATTAAAGTTTTTACAATCATGGCAAGGACATTAATTAATGAAATTTCATGGCTATATATAGGGTCCGGTAAAATCCTCTTTTCCCATGATCTGGTAATCTATGACAGAGTTTTCATTATGGATATATTTCTTATAAAATACCGATAAAGTAAATCTTGCGGCATTTTAGATTAATTACTCAAAACGCAGGCCATCTTGTGAGACAAGACTACCTATTACAGAATATTATTTCTGGAGAATCGTATATACAAGTTTTAAGAACCTGACATTCCTGAAAGCAATGCAGCAATATATAACACAAATTAAGAATTTATAAGAAATTACCGCATTTAATACCATTAATAATGTATTTAAAAGAAAATTCATGCCAAACATATATGCTATTTAATAAAAATAAGTATTATTGTAACTATACAATGATACTTTAATATAAGCACAGAAATACTTTTATAGGATTTACGGAAAAGTTAAATTAATACGTGCCAATGATATGTGATGATATATTGTAATATTATTGTGCTTATTTTGTTGAATAATAATTTCCTTTTTAGGTTTTCACGAGTTTGGATATAATTAGTTAGTGATATCTAGTATACGAGAATGCCATATTAATAATTTTGTTATATAAAATGTAAAACAGCCTCATTACTCAAAATTGTTATCCAAAGTTTAATTAAAGGCATCCTTTTCTGATTCAAACATGTTTCTTGTCTCATTCGCATTTTCTTTTATTTACTGGCAGTAAAAAAAATCACAAAATTTTCCCGAACAGCTAAATCAATACATCAGAAAAATATCAACCATACTTTTTCTAATTACCGTTTTTTGCATAATAAATTATATATGCAATGCTAAGAAAACCCACGTATGCACAAAAACATGAGTTTTGTTTAGACGTATTTGAAAATCCCGCATACCTCTGTAAAATTTCCAAACAGTGATCCGAAACGTTTATGATTTCAACTATTCGGCAAATTCTAAACATATATCTATATGGCATTGTAATACAGCTAACTGACTTCTCGGTCTGTATAATTTCCACTGATTAATATTTCGTTTCTCATCAAAATATTAATCTAAATCATTTTCCAGTCAAGGTTTCGAATTATCATTAAAAAACTTTTAAAAAAATCACTTCAGGTTACGCTCTTGAGGAAATGATAACCTTTTTGTAAAAGTATTTTTGAAGGAAAAAGTATCTGACTTTTCTTACAGATGAAAACTAAATTTAATCAACTAGAAAAAAAACAGTTAGTAATCAATAACGTTGATCGGAAAGCGTCTAATTAAATAGTGAATTCTCAAGATTTAACCTTTTGTTATAAACGTATACAAATCTTAAATCCGTTCAAAACAAACAAAAAAAAAATATCAAAGCCGATGCTTTATTTTTTACGTGACCACAGTATACGTCTAAAATATCTAGAACTCAATTCTATAACTATTGCAAAGAATATGCCCTTTTTTGGCGCCATGTCTTATATTTTACGTCACAAGGCGTATGAAAGAGAGATATATTGCCCAACGGAAAGCTTCCTGGATTAAAATGTATCACCTAGCTTTTACTCTCTTGATATGCGTATAAAAGTGTCATTCCTTATATTTTGATGAAGTAAGAAACGTCAGTTTGTAAATCAAATCACCCTTCTGCCGAGATTTCCTGGGGTTCAAAATGTCAAATACATCTACGTCACGCTCCGAAACGCAATCTGGGAGTTCTGCCAAGTCCGTGTTTGTCAATTAAGACTTTCTTCGCGAAAGAGGAATAGTGAAAAAGGGAGTGGGAGTTCCGAAATGAGGAAGAGCAAAGGTTCACGTCATTAGCCTCTTGATTTCAGACGAGCGGTAGAATGGAAAGATATTATGAAACGTCCCAGCAAAATAAACTGTTTGCTTGCGACACGGAAATTAAAACTGTGTCTCCGATAGCAGATGTGTTGATTATCTAAGACGCGATAAATAAGGATCTGCGAAATCCGATATTTAGAAAATGAAATTTGAGAAGATTTGTTGATGTTGCTAAAACGTTCAAAGCTGTTAGTGAGTAAATACATTCTTCGTATATATATTAATTCAGTTTATTGCATTCGGTGTTAGATTGACGGTAAGATGCTTCATTTTCGAAGACGGTGCGATATTTATTGCTCTCTAAGAATTAATTAATGGATGTATCGATATTAGTCAGTATTTCAGTAGGGAGCTTCTTTTAATCAGTTTCGTTTTCAAGGATGCATGAAATTCAACGTAGATTTTGAAAGATAATTGTTACTAGTAATAGTTTATTTTAAAAGTGTAGCATCTGGAGAAACACTTTGCTTTTTTAGATTCTACTTTTTCTTAATTTGCTAAATATATTTAGACAATTTACAGCTATGTGTGTAGCTAAAATTATTAAAATTTTTTATTTTCTATTTGGATGGATATTTTAAGATTTTTATGTGGTTTTTTATAAATAATTTTTTGTAATTTTTAATTTGAATGGTGTTTTCAAATATAATGCGAATTTTCTCTTTGCTAAATAAATATATACATTTTACAGCTTAATACATAATACCTGTATTTCGAATTTTCATCTTTAATCTGAACATTGTATTTAATTAATTAATTTGTAACATTTTAAATTTACAATACATTGTATTTATTTCTCTTCCTCTCTCTTAATCCCTAAATATTTGAATCTGAGTTTTCAAATTTTTACAATATTTGTCGCCATTTTATTGATAATCAGGCAAAATATTGCTGACTATGGATTGCTGAGTTTGTAAATATATTTTAACCATTCAAAAGATTTTTTAAATAAATTCATATGCATACTATTTTATTTGCATACACTTTCTTTTTCAAGCAGCTACTTTATTTTTCTTTACTCTCAAGAGCAATTAAGTTTTTATCTTCTGTATATGCAAATACCTTTAAAGTAATTTAGTAGGTTTGATTTCAGAACCTACATATATCATGTCATACTGTAAATTGGATCAATGCTAACATTTTGGAATATAATTAGAGCTGTTTTGGATTTAAAGCAGAGTTTTTAAAAAACCAACACATAATCAGTATACTCAGAATAACATATTTACTTATCACTTCTTCACTTCTGGTAATGCTGCTCACTAAATCTAAGAAACAACATAAACTTGACATTCGAGATTACACTTTCTTAAAACAGGCATACAATATGTTTTTAAATTACACGGAAATGAATTTCAGTATAATAAATAAATTCATCAACTAAAGTAAAATAATTGTAATACAGAATATTTTATTCCAGAAAATCGATATTAAGCTACCTTAATTTTAGTAAATAAAACCATGAAAGCAAAAGGTATTAAAAAATGACAGATTTAATTCGTTAAAAAGTTTCAGTTTTAAGCACTATTTGGTAAAGAAATGGATAAAAAAACAGCAACTTCCCTGGGGACTATAAGGTACGATAAGGTACGATAATAGGTGATATAAGGTACGATAACAAATTTAAACGTGTAAATCTTTTCAATGTCTAGAGCAGATTTAGCAGGTTTAGTATCAACCTGTAGACTTAATTTTGTCTATTTCAGAAAGCAATTTTATATACTAAAAAATGCTATATGTAAATAATACAATAGAAGGTCTCCATGCAAACAGCAACGGTTTATTTAGAAGCAGGTCATAGCAAGGCATTATATTTGCGTTTCATTTATCAATTTGATTTTAGTTTACATCTTTCCTATTGCTTCATTTCGTCATGGACTCGCTCCTTTTTGAAACTGTGTATATTTGAGAGATAAGTAGTTTAGTATAAAGTTAGAGGAACAGCTAGTAATTGTACTAGAAATGAGCTGGATGGACAGTTAACATTGGCTAACTGATCATCCAGCTCATTGGAGGTAGGAAGTTTCTTACCTCAATGGTCCATTTCCTCTTTCTTACCTGCATGGTCTAGCTAGTTACTTTGCAAATAGCAGCTGCCTCCCGTAAGAATATACGCCAAAGGCAATATTTGGCTGCTTAATTTAAGGTCTTTGGGTAGCTGTTAACTGTCGGTCCACCACTTTGTAGCCTTTCTTAGAAAGTAATTAGATATTGTATTTTGTAAGAATTTTAAAAACCACTTTTGTGTTCACCACCAAGTTCAGGCGACCGGCAACTTCGTTGTGCAATATTTTTACTTGAAACCTCACAAGAGGTGAGGTAAAAATAAACCTAAATTAAATTGAATACTTGAGTTTGTTTGTTTTCAAAAAGAAGTTAAGCTAATAGTGAGAACTCGCTAAGTTTTCCACTTAACATCTGAAGTACAAGCGTTGTACTTGAACTATTTAAGAATTCGTTATAGCCTCATATAGGTGTTACAGTTTACAAAGCGAACATTCATTGGTTCTTTTAAACTGCCGAAAAAACTAAATGTCTACCTTTACCAGCACGCGCTGCGAGACACCATCATACCCAGTGTTTTGAAATCAGAGGAATTGTTTTTGGAACGAATATAGCGTGATTGGTAGCAGTACACTAGGGAACTAAGCTTCTTCAGTTTTCAGCAATTATCTAACATCCGGATGATCAATGCAGTCTCGAAAAATAAGCGTCAAGGTCTAAACTTACATATGCAACTAGAGTTTACTTCTCTATACGTGACCTCTGAGAATATTTCAAGGTTTTGATTTCCAAAAGGAGATTACAGATTTGATTTCCCTTCGATGATTGAAGCAAGGCACACGTCACTTCGAACACATTTCGTGACATCCATGTTTTGTATATAGACAATGGTTACACATTCAATTAAGTTTTCCTTCCTATGAGAAAATGCTATAAAATAAGGCGATTCCTATAGAAAAAAAATGGAAAATTTACTTACTTAACGTAACAGCTGAAGCGGCGTCTTGCAAGTAACTGCTTCCACCAAGACTGTTAAAAGCCATAATACCGAATATATATTCAGTTCCTAGCTCCAAACCGCTAACAGTGAAGATGGTAGCGTTTGGTACATCTACATCAACGACATGATAACCATCTGCTGAACCTTCCTTTTTGTACTGAATCCGGTACATCTGATCCAAACCGCCATCAAATCCTGGCGTCCATGTTAAAATAACAGCATTATGAGTAGCATTAATGACTGATAAAGATGTCGGTGGATCAGGAACAGCTGAAAATATTAAAAGAATTTTTTAGCATATTTAATGCTTGAATGAAATTACATCTCGCAGTTTCGAAATACAATTAATTTAATCTCTCGAACGCAAGGCACATCATTTTCAACATCTTCAAGTCAGTAACAATGATTATCTGTTTAACTTTTCACTTCAAATATTTACGACTAAACGTAGTAACAGCTTTAGTGGAACCAAATTCTATGTATTTCAGTAAACATAGCCTTTCCAACGCAGAAGTAGAATTATTTGAAAAATAAACTGATTATGATTTGTTATGAAAACATTAATTTAGGGAAAAATTCTTCTAAATTTAGCCTAAAGAATTGACAGCAAATGTATGCATCCATACAGTCCCCCCCCCCAGCGTCCGAGCGGTAAAGTCGCTGAACATTGCAGTTCGCTCTAAGGTCCGAGTCCCGCAAACGGGCTGGCTGCAAGGATGTTTTCGTGGTCTTCTCCATGTGCATACCAGTCCGTTTCCCTGCCATAAAATCACATAAACCCAACCAATGAATGCAGACATTAAAAAAAAGTATTTTTTCATTTACTTATTGTTTTATTTTGTAAATACTCGTACATCTAAGAACAAATTGTTGATATTTATCCCATTTTTAAAGCCTCGGAGTTTCTAACTTTATTAAAACCTATAGACTCGCCTAATGTTGCTTCGTGCTTTAAAATTGCCAACAAACGCTCGTTTTTCATTTAACAAAGTATAAGTTTCTTTGAGATTCGCAAATGCAACTAAAACAAATTAAAGGGGAAAATTCTTTCTATTTTAAAAGGAAAATTCTTTCTTTTAACTTTTTTGACGGGGGGGGATGATTAATCTGACTGACTACAACTCTTATTATTCAACAAAGGCAACTGATTTATTTCTTTTTAATTATTTTTTTATAATCAAACAAAATCACATTTGACACTAAGGCTAAAAAATTAAGCTAATCAAGCTGATGTTTATTAATGATTTTTCAGAATTAATAGTGTCGTGGGTGTGTTATGAAAATAAATGGGTTCCTTCGATCAAAGATTTGAGTAGGCGAAATTTATAATGAAATCTATTACGAAAAAATCCACCAAGAAAAATGTATCACCCAAAAATATTTTAATCATTTACTTTATACCTAACAATTTGCTTTTAAATTCTTCGTAATTCTTAGAAATTCATTAATAAAGTCTTTTAACTAAAGTTGCATCTCTCCTTTAAGTGTTTGGTGTTCTAATTATTTGCTAATTTTATGCTGAGGTTCAACAGTTTTATAGGGTGCATCTAAAACCTCACATGCAATATTTCGACATCAGAAGGTTAAAAAGCATTTCCAGATAACATGAATTTCGACATTAAAAAATGATGTGCCAGCCGAATATTGAAAATAACTAAATTTCAAAATTCATAAACTTCTGAACTGCAAGATTTCTAAACCGTAAAATTTGAAATTCCTAAACTGTATGCGAAGAAGTGGGAAAATGTGATCGATATTTCTAAAGAATTCTTGTTGTTTCGTGCTTTAAGTCTGGATAAGGTTAATTGATTAAGCCTTTTGCATTTATACTGGCTTTTAATGCTAAATTTAAGTATTTAATTTGATGTTGCCAATTGTGCAACAAAACTATAGTTTCCTTTCTATTAAGCAGAGGCAAATTAACTGGGCCTAGCCTAGAAAAAAGTTAATTTTGCTTATTGTGGAAAGGAAAAATTACTATTTGCAAACAATAAGAATGAAGCAAAATTTCTATGAGATACACACACAAAAAAAAGGGGAAAATGAGTGGGATATCGGGGGTAATAGCAAGCGACGCCACAGTATTTAGTAATTGCTTTTACACATAACAGTAAGTAATTTAATTGCACATCAGCTGGAATGTCAACAATAATCAATATCATCCATCATCCTTTAAACATAATTAAGTAGAAGCCTTCGATCCGTTTCCTATTGATTCTTACTGAAATATGAAAGTAATATAAATAAAAGCTTTGCTCTTGCCGTATTGTTTCGGATTCTGATTTAATCTACATAACCAAATGAAGTCATTCTCCAAATTAAAACTGATTATAAATTCAATTAAATTGTTAACAGTATTTTTCTGCTAATTATATTATGACATATTTCTCATTCCTGTGTTTTTAACTGCCGATTAACCTCAGTTTTGGATTAATTATGGATTAAGTATTACCCTTCTTAATCAGGAAACTGTTACACCATTTGTTTGGTCCTCTTCTGATAAATTTATTAGGATTATAGTTGAACTTTCACCCATTTTGCTTATTTGCAGAAAATTACCGCGTACTTTGGCAGCTTTTCAGCATGCTTTTAGTCGAGTTGTTAAAAGTGCTCCCCAGCGAACAGAAAAACCCGGGGATCGATTCTAGAGAAAGAAAATTACATTGCTTCCATCTCTCATCGATAGATGGCGACACCACTATGCCTTATAAAAACATTTGAAGCGATCACAAATTAAGTTCTGAATTTCTCATTGCGAGATTAGCTAAAAAATAACAGACTGCATCCAATAATTTATATCAACAGATATAGTTTCGCTGTATAAAACGAAGTACATAAACTGAAACTTAAAAGCATTTTATTTTAAATTGCAAAAATTCTTCCTTATTCAGAATTTTTTGCAATTAAAATAGTCGATTGCATAATATGACGAATTTCCTATGTTCCTATATATTCATTATGTGAGTTATCAAAATTAAATCTTTGATACTTCTTCGTTGTGTTTAATAGAATTAGCATCTAAAGGAAACTAAATGGAATAAGTATATTTCCTGTCATCTAGATCAACAGTGATTTGATTGCTGTGATAAATTTACGCACAAAAGAATAAATTTAAATATGTTGTAATTTTCGATAATTTCGTGATAACTGATAATAATGTGAAATAGCAACGTGATTCTTAGTATACTAATTATGTCCAGAATCCATTGCAGCATTTCCCAAAATTTCTATATAAATTAACTTATCTTTTTAATACGTATTTTTCCGCGATTCTTTCTAATGCAAAATATAAAAATAGAAAGAGAAATATTACCAACAGGATATAATAAACGAAATTCGTCTTTTCATTCAAATCCATTATTAGTCAGTGTTAACGGAACCGCCATGCCGGTAATTCCCGCCGTCAGTGTAAGTGACTCAACAATGGCTAAAATAAAAATTTTTGTTTATTCTTTACTTGTGTACCTTATTAGGAAAGCAATGTTATTGGGAACACACTTTACTTTCGTATATTACACCAATTCTCCGACTGCATCATCCACTAACTTTAAAGTGTTACATTTCCTATATTAATAGCAATTTTTCTTAGTTTTATCATTTTATTCATTCGATTTTCCGATGCTGCATTTTTCATCAATATCTGCCAAAATATTCGGGACCTGTTTTCATTGCTTATCTCAGAGTATAAACGAAACTAAAATCGATCAAATGACGCAGAGGCTGACGTCAGTAAACAATTCATCTGTCCTATAATTCGGGAGAATTACATAAATCGCATTTTGTCTCACAATGAGGACTTTAAAAAATGCTGACATAAAGGTCTCATACACTATTTTTTCTAGCTTAAATTAGCAAAGACGCAATTAAAGCTCATTGGTCTAACCTAGAATTTTGCTCATAAATATAGACTGCTAGAAGTTTAACCAATACTCTAAAACACGCTAGTAAGATAGCTATGGCAATTCTCCAAGTAAAATTATTAATAAATATTCTTTTAATAAAGACATAATTAAAATTTCACAAGCGGGAACGTATCCTGTTATTTTGTTGCCTAATAAATTATTTTACCGGCATTTCCACAGAATCGCAAGTTTCCCATAAATGCCGATAAAACGGTTCCTTCATTCCAAGATAATTTAATTTGCAATTTCTTCTCAAGTAATACATAGACAACGGATGTATAATGTTTTTAACACATTTAGATTCATAATTAGTCTCTGAATGCAAAAACTGCTAGAATAGCTATAAACGGAAGCAAAAACTTTTTGAGACTTTAACAGCGCTTCATTTATAATGCACAGCAACACCTAGTAAATTACTTAGCAATAATTACTTAATTAAGAGCATTACTCACATGTTGCCATTACAAGGCCAGAAGAGGAAACAAAAATGTGACAAAATGGCGAAGGAATAGTTTTAGGAAAGCTTGCAAATTTTTTTTTTTTTTTGGTTGAACATTAATTAGATTTTTAAGATAAAAAAAGATTCTAAATAAAATTAAATTATTATATTTTATTTATTAATTACACTGCAATACACTTGTCGCCAATTGCTAGCAGCCCAATTCTGAATAACAAATGATGGAATTCCTCATAGATTCCGGTTGGAAAGAAGGGGAAAAGGAAATATAAGAATTTAGAACAGTTATTTAAGGAACAAAATATTAATTATTTCTTTTGCTGCAGATTAATCAGTTCCTCTTCCGTGATTGCAACAAACACATAAAATTTTAAAATACTCTTTTCTTAAGACAAACTACAGTAATTCTGAATTAAATATCACCTTGATATTTGATTAAAACTCACCATATATCCAATTAAATGCTATATTCTTAAATGTTTTTAAAGTTTTACAAAACGGAACCCTTCTCAGATGCATAAATTAAGATCTTTTCCAAGCAGTAAAAATGTTACAGAAGAGTTACTTTTAAATGTGCGATAAAAACAAATTTTAAAGCATTCTTTTTAGAGATGAATGATACTGAACGTCATGCATATCTTTATACAGGAGAAGTTTTAAGATATTCATTTAAAATACACTTACATTTACGACCAAGGGGTATTTTGAAGCTCTCAAATCCGAGGTCATTTTTGGCAATGCATTCATAGTCTCCAAAATCCTGAGTTTTGAGATCTTTGACGGTCAGCACGGACTCATAGGATATGAAATCAAGATGGCGGCTTTTAATATCATACTTTGAGGGCTTTTTGGATCCTCCGATCGTTGATCCATCTCTAAACCATGTAAACGAAACATTAGGGGCGCCAGTTGCGCGACAGACTATTCGGACATCCTCTCCTTCACTTCCTGCTGCTTTCGAATAAGCACCAGATCGTTCAATGACAGGTTTATCTAAAATACAAAAAAAAATGAAAACTGTAAATCGGTGAACATATTAAGTACACGTTAGATGCATTGTGAAATATGTGTTAAATATTAAATGATGTCGCGTTCTAAAATATTGTACTTATAAATGCTGTCAAAAACTGGTAAGTAGCATTACTCTTCTTTCAAAGGCATATTACGATGCTATGATGACATATTTATTAAGGTGTAAGAAGGGTTTACCAAAGGATCGCATAGAAATACACAAAGTATTGCTCCTGTGGACTGAAATACGGCATCCTGTTAAACAATGTATGCCATTCTTTTGTTTGCTGTACATCAGTCGTTTATCTAAACTCAGCGATGGATCACACGCGAATGTGAAACAGCATCATCGCACAATATGCTATTAGATGCAATAGAAGCACTACGCTATTTTTTAATAGATAGATTGGATTTGCTGCTTCAAATCCTTGTTACATGATATCAACCACTGGGTTTTTCTCCGAGGTTATGTAACAGGCAAAGTCCAAGCTACAGACGGTTAAGGATATCGAAGATTTTCGTGCTCGATTTCAAATGGCAGTTTCCGCCATAGTATTTTGCCAGTGTGAACTATCTACTTTGTATTTTTACTTTTCAGGTGTAAATATATTAGTTCACAGAACAATTAAGTAAATTTGAGTTATTTATTATACATGATATCAATAAATGTATGTTATGATAAAACAAATAAAACAATTAATATATTACAAACGGATTATAATACGTTATTTAACTCTTTGGCATATTTATTTTTCACAAAGAATCTAACATTTCAGCGATTGTGACGAATAAAACTTTTTTTTTTTACACTAGTTTTTGAATTATCTTTCCTGACAGCAATATAATTCCCTATTTATTCAATTAAAATAAAATGATGTACATTTATTCTTTCGCAAAGTATTCAAAATACAGATACTTAATTTATTTTCTTCCGATAATGCTGTTGGATACATCAAAAGCAAAAAAGAAAAACGCTTCCTAGAAAAAGGTTTCATTCAATTTATTATGAAAATTTCAGGAGCAAATTAAGTCATATACATATAACGATAACGTGTAGTTCTGCAAATTATTACAAAACATTAAATCATATACATATATCGATACGCAAAGCTCTGCGAAAGAAAGAAAAATTAATAATTAATTCACTTAACACATATCTCAATATAATTTAAAAAATGAATCAGTGAAAAATGTACTCAAAATAAATAGCCCAGCGGCAAGCGCTTCTTAATTATTATTCCAAATTAATGGAATGAAATGATGCAGATTTTCATTGGATACAAATTTTAACGATGACATAATATTTTTTGTTAATTCTCAAAGTTATTCAAGAGGAATGTTATCTAGGACTAAATAGATAAGGAAAGATATGTTACAGTTCTCTACGAAAATGGCAGAAATGTCATTAAGGGAATGATGGCAAATGAAAAAAAAAAAAAAAAAACCATAACGCATAAAAATAGTAAGAAGAATCGGTGTTTAAAAAATCTGACATATGTAGATGGCATCCAGGAGCAAAGAAAAAGGGCATCGACGGAACCGTTACTAACAGAAGGTACTTAAAAGCTCAGCAAATGATGAACCAAAATTGAATAAACCAGTAAAAATCAATCATTGAAGACTTCAGAAGTTGAGGTTAATCTTCGGAAAGTTTTGCAGATTTTTAAAATAAAGAAGGAATAAAATACAAATTTATCAAAATGTAAGTCTCTGTACTTTCAATAATGACAAGCGTTAGAGTTTTGACATTGTAGGAGTCATGTTGAAGTGTCGTATCCCTCTTAACAAAAAGAAATTAATTTGCTTTCATTGTGTAAAAATTTTCAATGGCATAAAATCGATAAACTTGCATTTTAAATGTCCTTTCTTCAAAGAGAGTTTGCGCTATTTCTTTAAACTCTTAGAAATTGAGCTCCTAATTTTTATGATTAGGTAAATGGATTATAACAGGCCAAAGCAAATTTACGCTGAAAGAACATACTGAACATCCTCGTTATTATGTAAATGAAAGTAACTAAAGGAAAAGCTGGTGTACGTCACGTTGGTGAAAACGTTTAAATAAAATCTCTTATAATGATCTGTTTATTAGTTGTTTCAGGTATATGAACAAGATATTCACCTGGATAATACGTGTGTTCTTCTCCAAATCACCAGTAGATGATAAATCGAAAATTTAGTTGATCCAATTTCAAATGAATTTACTTTTGAAACTAAAATAGCACAGTGACTAATAACATATAATGAAAGGAAATGTGCCCAGTTTCACGTACAGAACGTCTACGTGAATTAATTACATGAACAGGACGATAGCCAAATTCTTCCTGTGTTTTCCTTAGCATACCCTTTCTTGCCCTCTTGCAAAAATTACAATGCCACCCAACCGGTATAGTGGTTAGCGCCGCTGATTGCCGTGCCGAAAGGCCCGAGTTCAAATCCCGGAGAAGGCATGGATGTTTGTACATGTATAGTGTCCATACGGCATGAAGGCACTCTAAATATGCGTCGAGCAGAAAGTCCTGTCGAGGGTGTCCGCCGATAACATCGCGGACGAAAACGTCGCGGAGAAAACAACGCAAGGTGAAAACGTCGTGCTACAAAACATCGTGGAAGAAAACATCGCAAAGAGAAAACATCGCAGTTCTAAAACATCGTGCTACAAAACATCGTCGTCGAAAATAAAGCGGTTCAAAAACTTCGCAGTTTAAAAATATCGTCGTCGAAAATATCGTGGTAAAAAATAAAGTATCTACAAATCATGGCATGACGATAACATCGCAGACATGCTTTTTTCAGGTTTTAATTATTGTAAATGGATATTGCCATAATGATTTTGTGAGCGCAGTATGTAAAAGAAGGATAATTTTTATTTTCACATTTTTTATTAACTAATAAATGTCTGCTTAAAAACGTAAAAAGGAAACTTAAGCATAAAAAATTAAATGCAAATTATAGATTATACTTTTCATGAAAAATTACCAGTAAAAACTTTATAAAAATGATTTATTAATGGCCTTTGTTAGTTAACTATGTCGGTTTAAAATTCTATTTAGTGCTATAAGTTGCATTAATTTTCTATGCTTATGTTTCATTCTTATTTTCTCAGCAAAAATTTATTTCTTAATAAAAAGTATGAAAGTAAAAATTATCCTTCTTTCCATCTTGCGATCACAAATCAATATGGGAATATCCATTTAAAGTTATTAAAGCCTGAAAGAAGCATGTCTGCGATGTTATCGTCATGCGATGATTTGTAGATACTTTATTTTTTACCACGATATTTTCGACGACAATGTTTTTAAACTGCGAAGTTTTTGATCCGCTTTATTTTCGACGACGATGTTTTGTACCACGATGTTTTAGAACTGCGATGTTTTCTCGTTGCGATGTTTTCTCCCACGATGTTTTGTAGCACGACGTTTTTGCCTTGCGTTGTTTTCTCTGCGACGTTTTCGTCCGCGATGTTTTCGGCTATAACCCTGTCGAGAGGTTCATGGTAGGGAAAAAGGGGATGGGAGACTCCCGGACCCGTCTCCCCGGGGTGTTCTCCATCAAAACTGGGGGGCGGAGCTGAGTTAAATCGCACTGTCACCTGTAAGGTGCTCGTGGCTGCTGCCAACGACAGGCATAAACTTGCGCGCCTTGCCCGAGGAATTTCGTGGGCTTGGGCTGACTATAGGTCAGACAAGTCAGCATTAGCAACAACAACAACATGAATTACAATGAAGTTTTTAAATGGTGCAGGCTTGTCGGAAAATACCAAACGAAAATATTTTTAATATACTCCCAATTAAAAGATTGCCGGGTTTAAGATCTGGCAAGATTTAAAAAAAAAAAAAAAAAAAAAAAAAAAAAAAAAAATCGTAAAATACGAAACAAGGAATTTAAAAGCGCATCGCTTTATCTAAAGCGCGGAACACGTATTTAATGAGTAATATTCTATAATAACAATTTAGAAATATTTTAAAAACTTTAACATTTTTACAATTTATACAATTTTGATACATTTCTAATAGGTACGGATTTATTCTCATATGAAACCAGATATATTATTGCAGAAAGTTATTCAAATCCACTAATCTCAATTTGAATAACCTTCCATAATTATTATTTTCATTATAATCAGCATTTTTACAAAATCGTAAGGCACTTTTTATTTGAGGAAGCGTCTCGCAATTTCATTTATATTAAAAACTGTGCTTCAAATACTTTTTCTTGCGTTATATTGCATTAATCTGGACAGTTTTGGGTCACACATTCTCTTCCAAGAGACAGACACAACTTGTGGGTGAAAATCGATTGCAAAGAGTAAAAACCAAATATAAATTCTAAGCTCACGTCCATAAATCTTATTTCTTTTCTGGGGACTTGGCCCATCGAAAATGCATTCAATAAATAAATAAGTACTTTACATCCGCAAAAGGAAGGAGCATGTTGCAGTGATTGCTTTTGTTGGACAGAATTCTAAATCAGGACTTACGTTTGACCACAAGGGTTGAAGCCTTCTGGGCCTCATTGCCTATGCCGTTGTCGGCCACACAAAGGAAAATCCCGGAATCTTCTCTGGTCACGTTGTTGATGATGAGGTAAGAGCGTCCGTTTTCTATACTCTGCCTTGTCCGGCTCATGTCGAAGTTCATCCTCTGCCACCGGATGACGTCATCGCTGAGGGGATTCGCATCAACCTGGCATTCGAGGAAGGCATTGGAGCCGAGATCAACCATAGCAACTTCCGTTGCCATGCTGATTGAAGCAGCATCTGGAGAATAAAATCAAGAAAAGATGAGGAACGGAATTAAAGTCGATGTTTAAAGACTTATAGAAGCTTTTATTGACAACCTATAATTCTAACTTAGTTACAAAACTAATGATAAGAAAATAAAGTATAAGAAATGTTTTTTCGTTATCGCTGTTAATTATACCAATTTTAGCAGTAATAGAAAAATAAATTTGATCTATATAATCTATTATCTTGTGATAGAGAAGAAAAGCATTTTAGTCAGAGCTTGGAGGAATATGAGAGTAAATTAATGTGCAAGCAATTAAAACGTGCGCAAGCTGTATTCAGAAATCTCGATGTTTAAAATTTAAATTATTATTTCATAATTTAACTAACTAAATAGAGTTACACCCATATCTGATTCAAACTGTTTCAGGTACTTTAAATTTTCTTACAGTGATCAATATATATATATATATCTATATATAAATCCTTAATAGGAAGAATATACAAAAATGTTCTTTTAATTGAAACAAAGGCTTAGTATTAGAAAAAGAAATATTTATCACCCTTGGAAGTTCTAATATAATGATGAATAAGAATTTATAAACATTGATTACTTTGTAACAAGGAAAATGATCTCTCTCCTTGTTCTAGAAGATTCCAAATCCACAAGTAAAATAAATAAGAACGACCTTTGCACATTACACTAAATTTGTATCACAAGTTTTACAAATTGTTATTCTCATAGTAAAAAAATGCTAGAGAAACGTATTTATAACTGGAGCTTCCAAGAAAATCTTTTTTATAAAAATATTTACCTCATAGATTTTTATTAGTGCTTTTACCTTCAGTTATTAAATTTATACGTTTGAAATGCTACTGAGAATGTGATTCTTTTGTGTTTGAATTAGAAATAATTTAATCAGACGTAATGAGTCTTTCTTTTCTTCTTAAGAATTGTCTTTGCCTGTACTCCGTATAGCATTTTTATCATAAAGGTTAGCTATTGTGCAAGGTATAAAATAATTAAAAGTCTAATACATCGTAATAATTTCAGGTTTAGTATTCTTTCTCTTCCAAATTTGATAGCCATAACGTTAAATTTCATCTTTATTTTAAGAATTTTTTAACAATTTGATTCCTTATCACATTTGTTTCAATAATATTGTAGCGACCCCGTGGTAGTATGCTCTCTTGGTGCCGCTTGGCATGTAGTTGCTTGCTCGTGTCGCCATCTATTAGCACCAATGAGAAGTGCAGCAGCGCACGAGTTTCGCATGCCCTTGAAGTCGATAACGACCTTAGGATTCGATCCTAGGTTTGTTACGTGACAGTCGAATATCATACCGCTGTTGCAAACGAGTTCCCGTGCGACAGATTCTGTTATTTGAACTGCTTCGTAATGCGAACAATTACATTAACTCTCGAGATCGCTACACATTCCCTTTCCGAGCATTTATAATGCGATATGAGGATATACGATTTGTCGTTGTGAAATGAGCCTGCGCTGTGTGCGAGGTTGTGAGCCAGCTTATCTGACTGAGAAAAAACTTTCGTGACAAATATTTTTTCCCTGTTTAAAAATTATTTTTATTTAACAAACAGGGAAACGTCAGTAGAACATACTAAGGCCATATACATTTCCGAAAGTTACATACCATTAAGAACCAGTTAAAATTAAGTATTACGTTTTCCATTCGAAGCAATATATACATAGACTATAGACATAAATATAGTGCTCTTGATGAAAAAATAAAGAATTTTTGAAAGATGATATACGTTATTTTAGAAAATGAAACAATGTTTCATATTTAAAAAACTTTTTAATGCTTCTGAATGCAGATTAATAGAAAAAACATTTTAAGAAAACGGATGTTTTATTATATGAATCACTTTAATTAATTATATAAATTAGGTTATGCTTAAAATGAGGAGTACAAATCAGGAGAACTAAACGAGATAAGGACAGCACAAGTGTGAATAAAGCTGACAGCTATACAGTTGGAACGCATTGAACAGGTGAGTGAAAGCTATTCCCCCTCCCTGTTTAAACCTTTGCACAAAAACAGAAATTGTATGCATACATTAAAAAAAGTTTTTATTGTAATCGACTGATAAGATATTTCATCAGTTGATTATATTGAAACTTATGCTGATGCTGAAATTAAAATTGATATTTAAAAAAAAAAAAAACATTTTTAAAGCATCAGTAATTTCTTTAAAAAATTGGAGACACTTTAAAAGAAAAAACAGAGCATTTTTTAGAATTTTTAATTTGATTCCTTTACATGTTTAATTACTCAGTGTTATTAAAAACAAACAGGAATGCTAAATATGAAATTTTCTTTGCAGTATCTATAATCAAAAATGATAGTTTACCAACATGGTTTTATCTGAATAAACCTCCGAAAATTCTTTTGTTTGATATCTTCAGCCCAGCATGTATATAGAAATATCCCAATCTACACAGATTCCATATTTTTATTTTAAAAATAATAACAAAAAATCAATTTACGTTTACAGTTTACTATGTTAGAATTTATCAAATACACTCGCGAAGTGTCCACACTGAATGAAATTCAAATTGCGTTAAGACCCTGCAATGGTGCAAATAGAAATGTGCTTATGGTGCAAGAAGATTCAGTGGCACCACGAAGCGGCGAAGTGTTAATTTCTAAGGAATTATAAGGTATTTGTAAATAGTTCCTGGAGAGACACTTACATAAAACATTGACTACAACCGTCACAAAGCTACTGCCTTCCTCATTGCTTGCTTCTAGCCTGTACTGTCCCGCTTGATCCCTTCTTACATTGGTCATGTTGAACAGAGGTCCGGTAGCTAGTACAGAGGTGATAGCAACATCATTGGAATCAGCTGGCATTTGGGATGTGGAACTGCTGGCTTTACTCCAAGAATAGTTGATGGACGAAGGATTCCCTCTCGCTGATATGTTAATAATTGTGGATTCACCTTCAATAACATCATACTGTTGCAATGGCTTCGTTTCAAAAACAGGTTTGTCTGAAAAGAAAGTTTTTCAGGAAATATTCAGTTCGATGTTAGTTCCAGTACAATGCTGCAAATGCTTATTCAGTTCAGATTTAAGGTGAGAAAATGTATCAAAGCATCAAGACTGCATTATAGTTTGGACAAAGAAAATTAGACTAAGTTTTTAATAAACAATTATATTAACGTTACTCAAATTTACCTAACTTCAGAAGCACATTTTTTTAATATCCTGTGCGCTTTTATAATTCCTTTCTGATTTAAGAGCATGAATGTACATAGAATATTAAATTATGAAAACTAAAGTTCAGTTTTTATATTTTTTAAATTAAATTTTAATTTTTAACTATATTTTAACCAATTCGAAAAGCAACAATACAAGTACATCAGCTAAAACAAATATGAAAGACAGAAGATTGCTTGAACACTCCATAACATCAGCTTTACATTTCCTATAAACTGGTTTGTCTTATAACCGATTCTAGCAAAGCATTTAAGGACTTTTCGACTTATGGGGTATACATTTCTACATGGCTTCTTAAGGAAAACTAATCCGTAATCATTCAGAAAACGTATACCACAGCCTACAACAAGTTTTGTTGTACAGAATGGAACAGGGGACGAATTATTAGTGTTCAACAGTTTTAATTCCTTAGCCCCAAGCGAAAGCGCGCCAAGAAAGTTATTTCAGTTTCAGAGTCGCCATTTCTCAAACGATTACTTATACAGATGACATTAATTAGTCGCAAATGTTTTACAATAGTAAACAATAATAGACATTTTTATTACACAGTTGTTATTTACATAATAGTAGACAATAATAGACATTAATTAGTCACAAATACCTAAGACACAAGTATCTTTTCCCATTTGCTTTTACTATTAATAGGGTTACGAGGTTTTACACAAACTAAGATTAAACTAAGAAATTAGGTTATTTTGAAGCAGGATACATGAAAAATGAGCAATACCCTCTACGAGACTCGAACCTGGACCTCTCAAACACGCGCCGAGTGTGCTATCGTTACACCACGAAGGCATGCAGAAATGAGGGAGAAAATGCCTTATGTACTCCCCCTTTCAAAGATCGACTAACGATTAGGGGACCAGGTTGCCAAATTCCAGTGGTGAAGAATCATCATCAACCTCTCTTTTTATTTCGGGCATCACTTAGAGTCATTACGATTTTTTTAAAGCAGGTTACGTGAAAAATTAGCAATGCCTTCATCGGGACTCGAACCTTGACCTCTCCAGCACGCGCCGGGTGTGTTACCATTACACCACGAAGTTAAGCAAAAAAGAGGGAGAAAATACCTTAAGCCTAATCTCATTTTAAGTAGTAACTTTATTTTTGCTAGATAAGATGCTAACATTTTAATTAATGTTTTCCTTGGTTCTTTAATTTCGGAAGCACAATATTTTTTTCCAGAAAATGTAAATTAGAGAATAAAATGAATGTTCAAGATATAGGTAATAGAAATGGTTGGCTACGTTTTTCTATCATAACTGCCCAGACATAACAAAAACTAAGGGTGCCCTGCAAGTTACTGCTTTGTGAATTAAGATTTAGGTGTGAAGAAGAACAACTAAAGCTTGCCAATTTTTTCGGGAAATGAGATTTAACGTATTTGCCCATACAGCAGAAATTACACTTACCTACAGCAAAACACTGCAAAGAGATATAGTCCATTATTCAATCTATAAGTAACCTCCGACCCCAAAATAATCCACAGGATTTTGATCACACATAAAAACTTAAGCTATACATACATAAAAAAGATAATAAACTTACAAAGAACGTTTATTGTGACTGCATCATGTGCACTTTGTTTCAATTCGGTGTTCGTAGCTTGGCAGGTATAAACTGCGCCATCATCCTCAGCAGAGACATTTAGTTGCAGAATGTTCTTTGTCGACCGACCACCATTAGGTGCATCGAATACTCCATCTGGTGTCCCTTGAATAAGAAATCCGTCTTTCCACCACGTTATCTCGGCTTGCGGATTGCTGCTTGCGCATTCACATATGAGAGTAACCTGAGAATGAATTAGTAATTTAGTTGACGGAGACAACTAAATATTCAGATAATGGACAAATATAAAAAGAACACGCCAAAGTATTAATGCGAGAGCAACTAACAATAATTTAATAAAGGGAATCAGCGTTATATGAAACACTATTTTAACATTAAAAAATGACGTGTATAAATAGTAGACAACTTACCACATTATATATATCATTAATACAAGCGGGCAAGCCCGCCAGATGCGACAGCTGCCGCGAAAGCAAAATTTATCAGTTCTACATAAGCATTTCACTCTTTCCAAAGAACAACCAATTCGTAAATAAATTTTCGTTGCCAAACCAGGAAACAAAAACTTTTGACACTTCAGGTTAATACGTATGACGTCATGATCTAAGTTTAATATAACAACTTTTCCTTAGTATCAATAAGAGAATTAACAAGGCAATAACATATCGTCTCAATTATCCTAACCTGTAACAAAAATATGCCGACAGCAGGTATTCATTTAAGGGGACTCGTACACCTTAAAACACATAAGATCTTTGAATATGTGACTGTTGTAAGAATTGGGATAACTTATTTATTTTAAAAGCAATTACTTAAAACATTTTACAGCTGACTACATAATATAGTTGCTTTCTGAAATAGTCATCAGAAAGTTTGTGTTACCACAAATATTTTGATAATTTAATCCGCTTTTTGACAAAATTTTTCGTCATGTTTCCACCTTGCGCGCACAGTTTAAAACATTCTGTTGCATAATTTAATTCCATATTTAATATATAGCTTTTATAATATTTGGAAATTACTGTGAACCAAAAATTCTAAGAATTTCAAGTTTAATTTTTATTCTATTTGGAGTCGAATTTATAAAATGTATTTTATTAAAAAACTTGTAATGTTTCCGTCCATAATTTTTTTTAATATTAAAACATTCATCAGATTTTTGGTTCAGCTAAAACATAGGGCTCATATAAAGAATTCCACCCAATTACAAGTATGTACCATTAACCATTTTTAAAATATCGTGAATGTGGAAACGTGACGAAATATTTTGTCACAAAGCGGATTAAATTACAAAAATATTTGTGGCAACACAAACTTTCTGGTTACGAGTTTCCAAAGCAGCTATATTATGTAGTCAGCTGTAAAAGGTTGGAAGTAATTTATTTTAAAATAAATATAATATCCCAATTCTTGCAACAGTCACATATTCGAAGGGTGTTAAGGGGTTTAAGGTGTATGAGCCCCCTTAAAATATTGACATTAACCAAAACGGTTCGACATATAATGACGTCACGTGCAATCGCGTGCTTTCTTCAACGTCAGAATATGACCTTATGTTACTTATATATAATAATACATTTAATGTTCGGCAATGCTATTATTAGCCCAAAGGGGCGTTATCCCAGAGGGGCTATTAGTCTCGAAACGGCATTTTGGGTCGAAACAATAAAAGGTTTGAATCAATTTTCAAATTGCTGTCACCAAAAATTATTGCCCTGTATTATATAAAAAAATTAATAATGAAGAATCTGCATGAATGTATGTATGTTTCTTGCATTATGAAGAAACAACAGCACTTAGAACCACCAGTTTTGAATAACGTAATCCCCCACCCGAATATGGGCACTTGGAAGTCTGAATTTTGAATTTCGAATTTGCTTTATTATTTAGTTCATATTTTGTAAAATTTTAATAAATTTTGACTACAAAAACTCAACAATTTCAAAGCGAGCACTGGCAACACTGTACGGAATAAAATATGTTTTCTCCTGGTACGTGAAATGGTGTATCAAAAATTCTAAAGATATGCTGCTTTTAAATATTCTTAGCCCAAAATGACTTTAGCCTAAGTGCTGGAGAAATATCTAGTTTGTGTAAATGTAAAAAAAAAAACACCCCTTTGGACGTAATATAAAATCTGAAAGCTTGAATCAGACTTTTTATTTCTTTATTTTTATTTCATATTTTGTAAAACCTACAATTTTTTGTAAACCTACAAATATTTTATTAACAAACTCTAAAATTTTAAATCCAGCAGTCGCAACATTTTTCGAAATAAAGCAGAATTTTATCTCCAGCGCGCGAGACTGTTTCCGCTCGGAAAAATGAAAGCGAAAATTAGCGTTTTTAGTTTTTTAAATTAATATCTTGACTAATCAAAGTCCTAGGATCAAAATGGTTTCCCACGAATTTTTGGAATCCAACGATACTTCGCTCGAAACTCAACTCCCCGCCGTTCTGGAGAGATGATGTTCCGGAGCAGATTTTAGTAATATAAATAGATTTCTATCGAAATGTGTTGCCAAAACAAATACATAAAATTCTTTATAAAATGAAATGGACAACCTATTTAAAAAAATTAACAAGTTACAGGCGAAAACAAATAAATAACTTTTAGTCTTTAAAAGCTTCAAAAAAATGTAAAATAATCACATTATGGAATTTCAAACGTGATTCAGAATTAAAGATGAAATGATACCACATAGCTTCTTAAACACATAAAGAACGACCTGCTCACATTTTAGCAACCAAATATATTTCAAATTATTTCTCTCAGACTGAAAAAAACAAGAATTATTCTAAAAGAATGATTCATCAGTTATCTAGAACGAAAATGAAGTAATCAAAATTAATGACGAAATCCACGTCATTAATACTATGAAGGTTTCTAGGGAATAATTCAATCTCAATACGGAACATCTGGACGTACTCCAAAAGAAATAGCCAGTTAAAATATAAAATGATTTGAAGAAGGAAAATCTAAAGATGTTCATGAAGAGCAAGCAGAAATAGTTTAAAGGAAAGATCCATGATTAATAAAATACTGCAGGCAAATATTTTACATTAATCTAATAAATAGATCTATAATGCACTACTATAATTTAAATGGCTTAGTTTTTCTTTACGTTTATGATCCAAACGAAACTAAAAATTATGAGTTCTGCTGATTTAAAGTGATTAGAAACGTAAACAGAAATATTTACGGAAAAGCAAATGTACAGTTGGTAGCCTGCGGATAAATATTTTATAATGTTTGTTTCGAGCCAAAATAGTTTTTATGGGTTATTTTTACATCAAAATCACATTAATCTAATTTCGAATGTTTAATTATACCTAATACCCTTGAGGGATTAGATGTCGCAAAATAAAAATTAGGACTTAATGAAATTTTCAGATGGTTGGTTAAAAAATACTATATACATATTTATATCAAGAAAGATTAATACAAATATAATGGGAATATTCCTATTAAAAATGCCAATTAAGTCAAAACTAAGAAATACAAATTGAAGTCAATATTAATTCTAATCAACTAAGTCATAATAAGAAAATAAAGAAAGTAAAAATCAAAATTAAAAATTAAAAACCATAAGGTAAAATTAGAAAATTAGAAAAGAATTTTTAAAAATTTCCAAAGAAAAATATTGTTAAGAAAAAGTGAAAGATGGATAAAAGAAATATTTTCTTTCAAACCCAGTTAACAGTTATGGAAATGTAAATTCAATTGAGATGCTAAAAATTGAAATGCTAATAAAATGAATATTTAAAGAAAAATGAACAATTCAAAAGACATCAAAACAATGCTGAGTCTTTAGCAATATTTAATAACGCTTTTCTAATTTTTATTTTACTTTACGGTTTTTTATTTTTAATTTAAATGTTTACTAAAATTAATTAAATGTTTATTTTCTTAATATGACTTAGCTGATTAGAATTAATGTTTACTTCAAACTGTATTTCCTAGCTTTGATTTAATTGGCATTTTTGATAGGAGTATTCCCATTTCATTTATTTTATTATGATTAAATAAAACTTCGCAGCCTAGGCCCAGGATTCTTAATAGCCGGACTTTCCTTTGTATACATAAAAACATATAAATACATATAAATATATAAACATACTTTTTTGTTTATAAGTAATAAATTTCGAATTAAAACCTCAAAGACATGAAAGAAATTAAAAGTAAAACCTATACAATCCTGAAATCTCATAATAAAAATGTAAAACGATGACTCAAACAGTGTTTTTTACAGTGTTCAAAACAATAGAAATATGTAAAAAAGAAGAAAAGAGGAATGCAACCAAAATCTGGTTCAACGTCAAAGTCACCAAGAGGAGGTAGATCAGATGTCAGTTGAAGTCAAATTCCTACGAAATCCACTGTGTTTCTGTTCATCCAAATTTAGCTGATGAACCATTTAAATTATTTAAATATTAAAGATTTTCTGAAAACATCGAATGCTTTCTACGTATAGCCGATTTCCTTTAATATGAAATAATAATACATAAATATAAATTTAAATGGAATAAATACTTTCTTCAACGTCAGAATATGACCGTATGTAATAATAATAATATGTTTAATGTTTGGCAGTGCTGTTATTATTTCATGTTTTCTAAAACTTACAAAATTTTTATTAACAAACTCTACGATTTTAAAGCAAGCAGAGGCAAGAATATTTGAAATAAAAGCAGGTTTTTATCTCCAGCGCGGGAAACCGTTGACACTCGAAGAAATGAGTGTGAAAATTAGCGTTTTCAGAGTTTTTAATTAATAGCTCGGATGACTAAAGTCGTACGAAGATGAGAATGGTCAAAATGACTTCCTACGAATTTTGGGAACATGAGGGTACTTCGAAATTCAATTCCCTCCGTTCCGGAGGAGATTATGTCACAAAAAAACAAACAGACAAACGCTCACAGATATTAATAATACAGATATATTTGTATACATTAAATAATAACAGTAAAGAGTCAGAGAAAGAGGGCTGACAACGAAATATTATATTGGGATACAATTTTGAAAAGTATAAAAACAATTCTTTTATGCAAAGTCAATTAATTCTTTTTTAAACATTTGCAGTTCACAAAAGGTTAAAAAGAAAAATCTCTTACCACAATGAATTAAGGAATAAATTTAAATTCCAGTATGTGGCAAAATATATGCTTTTCGAAATTTGATACATTTCAAAAATTGAAACCAACCAAACAATTACAAATACT